TATAACTTAATTGAATATGTGATAAGCAAAAAAGGAAGAGGGAGGAGCTGAAATTTGATGAAAGAGAACTACTGTGAGGATATGGCTGTGGGGAAACAGGAGCATTAGCTTCTATCTGTATCTGAATGGGTTTATGGTTACCAGTTGGGAAGAAATGCAAGACTAGGCAGTAAAATAGAGAAAAACCCAAGTGAAAAAGCCCTGTTGTTTCTCAATTCCCAAGGACAGACATTTCAGATGACAAATACTCTTTACTCCTTGCTATATCTGAGACTTCCTTTCTCTGCGTCCAGAAGTCATTTGAAGACTTGGTGACCTTACATCAGCTGCAGGAGCTACCACCAAAGGGGGACTTGAACCTTCCTCTCTCAATACTCTTTCTTCAGGTTATATCTCAGAGCATGACCTGCAGAAGAATCAAACGAATGTATACAGGAACAGGGCCATTGTCCCAAAGTGGAACCTGACAATAGCAGCTCTCCCTGTCCTTTGTTCATTCTTCCTAACCAAGTTGTTAGAGTGGAACATGTGTCCTCGTGAAGTACTATGGCAATATTCCCAAAATGCTGTCCTAGTCATGTGAGTCTGGAAAAATTTCAAACTACAGGGGTAGAGATTCTAGCAACAGGTCTATCCCAATGACTGGACACACCAAGGGACAGGCTCCATGCCTCATGCTGCCTTGTACCAGGAGCCTACCTGTGATCTCTTGGATAGCCAGTCTTGGGGTCCTATACATGACCTGACCTGGCTGAAGATGCTGTTCAGGAGTCTGGAGTCCCCCATTGACTTCTTTCATGGAAAGTAGCAGGACCCTCTATCCTACGCTGCTAGTAAAAGCCTCAAGAACTGAGCTGGGAAGAGGACTCCCCAATTTAGGGCTAAGGAGTCATAATTGTAGTTTCTTTTCCTTCCCTTCCTCCTTCCTTTACCCCTCTCTTTTTTTTTTTTCTATGATACTAGGGATAGAACCCAGGCACCCACATCAGGCAAGTGCTCTACCACTGAACTATACCCCTAGCCTGATTTTATAGTTTCTTGGCTTCACAAATTGGAAAGAATTGAATGATACTGGCCAAATTATACTGTTTGTACATGTACAAATATAACAACAAATTCTATTATTATGTGCTGCTATAATGCACCAATAAAAAATTGGAAAGAACTCCTCAATTAAACAATGTGAACTGGGGCAACAGTGTTGAAGAAGCTCTTCTTTTCAAGATCCATTCCACCTCATAAAATTAATAAAACTTGGAAATTAATACCTGAGGCTAATGTGTAGTAATTACAGCTGATGCTCATTTATAAAATTAACTTCCCAAGCCTAAAGAGACAGAGATCACTCGTGTTCTTAAAGACATTCAAGAACTTATTCTATTTGTATCTATTTTCCACTCCAAAGTTTCTGATTTTAAATCTCTATCTCTCAGTACATTTTCAACCAACTGCCTAATTTCTTGTAAATAAAAAAAGTGCAGCCACTTTCTATACAGACATAGAAATTTACCTTCTCCAACCTCATATGATTCTAATTCTTTTTATCGTCGTTTGCAATACTGGGGCCTCACACCTGCTGGGCAAGCACTTTGACACTGAGCTAAATCCCCAGCCCCCAATCCTTTTATCTCTTTCTTTTGTAGTCATCTGATCAACCCTTTGGTTTACTTTTCCAACTTATTCATTCAGCAAAATGAATGGCATATATGTGATAGACCATATTCTAAGAGTTGGAAGATAGAGCAATAAATAAAACAAGATTAAAATATTCCACCACATTCCCAGTAGGGGACACTCACACACAAAAAATGATTAAGGTGGGCATGTTAGCCAATGCCTGCAATCCCAGTGACTTGAGAGGCTGAGGTAGGTGAATTTCAAGTTCAAGGTCATCCTGGGCAATTTAATGATACTGTGTCTCAATATAAATACAAAAAAGACTGGGGAATGTAACTTAGTGGTAGAGCACCACAGGGTTCAATCCCTAGTTTAAAAAAAAAAAAAAAAAGAGTCAAAAACAGTGTAATCCACACCTGTAATCCCAGAGACTCAGGAAGCACAGGCAGAAGAATCACAGATTCAAGGCCAGTCTCAACCTCAGCAACTTAGTAAGGACCTGCCTCAAAATACAAAAGGGCTAGGGATGTAGCTCAGTGGTAAAGTACTCCCGGGTTCAATCTCTAGTCCAAAAAAAGAAAAAGATGATTGTATAGAATGAAAAAAAAGTAAAACAGAGAAGGGCTTAGGAAGTGCTGAAGGAAAGCAATTTTAAGGAGGGTTGTTGGGAAGGCTTCACTTGGTGGTGGTAGTGGTGGGGAACTGAGCTGAGCAGACTTGGAAGACTATGATGGAGTGACCCTTCATCTGGGCGAAGATTTCCAGGAAAGTGTGAAGGTCTTAAGGGTCAGCATACCTGTAGTGCCTAATGTACAACAAAAGAGACAGTGCTGCTGAGACAGAGAAGCATGGATTTGAGTAGAAGAGGTCAAATTGGTAAGACTGCAGGAATAAACTGGCAAAGAGATATTTAATTTGGGATATGTTAAATTTGAAATGCACATTGAGTATCCAAGATGCTAATGGGCAACTAGATATATTTAGAAGAGAATTTCTTACTGAAACTATAAAACTGGGAATCACCCACATCAAAAATGGCTTTAATGCACAAGACTGGATGAAATCAGTGCAGGTACCTGTGAAAACAGAGCAGCCTGAGGACTGCACTCTGCAAAGTCAGCAGAGTATGGCAAGAAAACATCAAAGGACATAGGGTGGTCAGCTAGGAAGCAGAGAATATGTTCTAAAGCCAGGTAAAGAAAATATTTCAAAGTAGTGTCAAATGCCACCAATATTCTGTAAGATAAAGCAGAATGCATAATTAGACTTAGCTATGACCAAGTCATCAGTGACCATGGTAAGAACAGTTTTAATACAAATGGAATTTCTGGGGAAGAAAACTCTTGCTGTGAAGTGGAACAGAAAAATAGGAAGAAGTGGAAGGGGAAATGGGGCCAAGAGGGCATTCTTTCTCAGGGGAAAAAGGGAAGTACTGACTACAAAGAAGGAGGGAGAATTGCTGAGCTATGTGCTCAAAAACTAGAGAATAAGATCCACTGCACAAGTGTGTGGACAGGATCACGACCCTGTTTGTAGCAGGATTTAACCTTAACACCACTGATATTTTAGCACAGAGATTGTGGGGCTTTCCTGTGCATTGGAGGATATTTTATAGTATAACTGGCTTTTCTCCAATAGCACCTACCTCCCAGTTTTGACACCCCAATGTCCTCTGAGGAACACAAAATCAATTATGGTTGGTAACCACTTGTTTATAACAACGGAGGGAAAGTGAAGTATATGAATACAGGTGCTGGAAGGTAGTTAGATTTAGTGGTGGAAGCTGTAAATGTTCATGTTATTTCTATTTTCTCACCAAAATAGGAACAAGTCAAGAATCAGACTATGAAGAGGGATATTAGTTATGAGGGTCAGTAGGTATCTAAGTTATCAGAGGGCAAGTAAAATGCCTAGGGAGATGGAATATGGCTGGATAACATATAGAACCCACTTTAGGTGATAAACTTAAGACAGACCTGCAGCATAGCTGTTTTTTGCTCACCCTCTCAGCTGCAAGGATCTAGGTAAAGAGTAGGTTATGAGTTGAATAAGAGAAAAAATAAAGTAATAGCAAAGGACAGGAAGTTTATTCAATACTTACTACTGGAATTCAGCTTGAGAAGAAGGGAAATGAAGACATGGGGAATAGAGTCAGTGGAAAGGAGTAAGATCAAAGGACTGTAGGTCCTGGTGAAGGGATGAATTGCTGTATTGAGCATACTAAAGGGAAAGACCTGGAAAGACAGAAAGTACTGGTATGAGAGTGTGATATTTGAGACAGACATATGGAAGAGATACAGGTCTAGAATATGACCAGAGAAGGAGGATGACCTACATGAATACCGAAATCATCAGGATTATGACAAAAATGGTGTGGTGTGGTATAGTCTAAATGCTTCAAAGGGATATTGGGGATGAAAAAAAATGGTCTGAAAATAGTATGAGAAAGGAAGACACCTGAACCACTCCAGGCTCAATGGTACAGTGAGTGCAGAAGAGAAATCATGACCACTACAAAGGCACTAGGAGAAGCAGAGTCCTCACAAGAAATCAGGTTTCAAAATAAAAATAAAAAGAGCTAGGGGTGTAGCTCAGTGATAGATCACCCATGGGTTCAATCAGCGGTACAGGTAGAGTGTGGGGAGTTGGAATGTGGTCCAGGCCTCAAAGCAAGAATGTGAAAGGAACAGAAGAGAGATGGGATATACGGATGTTTGTAAATGACTGTTAGTTCCAGAGAGCACAGAAGAGTTTTAGGAATTGAAAGAGAGAAAGAGATGGGGAGGGGGGAAAAAAAAAAAAGAGGGTAGAGAGATACATGGTTAGGAGGGTGTAACTGATGAGGTGATTAAGATGGGATTAGTTCGGGTGGTTGTAGAAGAGAGGTGTATTTTGGGCCCCCCTCAGGTCTGCTAGCAGGAGTGCAAATAGGAGTAGACGAGAAAGTGTACAAAGGAGGGGTAAACTCTTGATTTATAAATTAGACCAGGCTATTTTGAGGAGAAGTCCTGAGTTTGCCACAGATGAGAGGTAAAGGCCCTTTCTCTTTCTTCTTTTTTTCTTCTCCCATTATTGTGGTTTTCTGCCCTTAATTACAAATTTGGAAGTTTAATTACTCAAATAAATTAAATGAAATGACTGTAAGGTAGTCAGTACAAGGCCTAATACTAAAATACCTTGAATTGTGATGATACTACTGTTAAGAGGATGTTATGATAGTACCTATGATTTCCTCTCATGCTTTGCTATTGAGTAGCAGCCTCTGAAGCCAGCTGCAGTCAGCCAGGGTGATACCCTTGAATCCTTATCCACTGACTCCATCAATAAGAATTCACCCAGTGTTAACTCTATATTGGTCCTAACAACACAAACCAAAACCAACATACAAAACCAAAAGCATTTTATTGCTGAGTCATTTAGAAGTTCCATATGAGACATCAAGCCTCACATCAGAGTCCACAGCAAGGCCAGGTAAGAGCAGAGTCCATAGCATTGCCAAGATTCCCACATCAGGAGATTAAGGGCCAGGGTCCTTTGAGTTCTAATTAGGGAACTATCTACTCTTTTCTTGTTAATCTTGTTAGTCCCTCCAGGTCACTTCTACTTCATCTGTACGATACCTGCAGGAAAATGAGGAAAATTGGTAAGGGACAAGCCTTTAATATTTTCTACCCTCATGTTTCTGGATTTTCTGCCTATCTCCCTTATCTAATCCTATCTATCCCCTCCAAGCAGTGAATCACCTCTGTGTAATCCCAGAATCACTGATGGCCGTTCTATGTCCAGCCTGAAACATCTCCCAGCCAGCGTGGGCTATCATGGCTCCATTGTCAATGCAGAATCTATAAAGGAAAGAAAATATGAAACTTGTGATTAAGGGCAGAAAACCACAGTGATGGGAGAAGAAAAAAAAGAAGAAAGGGAAAGGGCCTTTACCTCTCATCTGTGGCAAAAAGCTTAGCTCCCCGTTCCTGGCACATTGTCTCCATCATCTCCTGCAACCGCAGATTACCTATGAAATAGTAAGGTTCAAGGCTAGCTTAGTTTCAGCCTCTCCATAGTCCAGTCATATACTTCATGTGTACTTACTAGAATAAAGCAGGGGACTGGGGGCAAGAATTGGAATACACAGGGCAAAAGTGAAACTGATCATTTTCCCAAACCCATAGATTTAGAATATTAGGAGGAAGATACATAAAGCCAAGAATATGAACCAGGAACACCATTCAATGATACATACACCCCACACCTCCCACAATGAGGGCTTCCTGGGAACCACAATGTGCCATGGCTCGCTCTGTGATCTCTACCAGCATTGCAAACACAGTTTCCTATGGAGAACAGAGAATATGAAAATGTCAGAGAGACATCCCAGCTCATTTCTGCTCTACTGTATAAAATCTCTCCTTTAGATTGGGTACAGTGGGGCAAGCCTATAATCTCAGGTATTTGGGAGGCTGTGGCAGGAGATTTCAAGTTGAGGCCAGCCTCAACAACTTAGCAAAACCCTATGTCAAAATAAAAATAAAAAAGGACTTGCTGGGGTTGTAGCTCAGTTGGTAGAGCACTTGCCTAGCACGTGTGAGGCACTGGGTTCAATCCTCAGTGTCACATAAAATTAAAAAAAATAAAATAAAGATATTGTGTCCATCTACTATGAAAATATTTTTTAAAATAAATAAATAAATAAAATTTAAAAAGACTAGGGATTTAGCTCAGTGGTAGAGTTACCCTGGGTTAAATCCCTAGTACCACCCTACCACACCCACTTTAAAAAAAAAAAGAAAAAAAAAAATCAGACTTTAGCCTCAACTTTTGTCCCACCTTTTCATTCATTACCTGCAAGGAGAAACATAGATCCTCAGGAGTACACTCGCCTGTGGCCAGCATCCGTTGGGCTACATCCTACAAATAAAGGGAAAACAAAAAAATGAACAGTGGCTTGGAATGTAATAAGAGCAAAAATTAGCACACTCAAAGGATCACCATGTTTCATCACACTTCAAAGTACCAGCATTCTGTAGCACACACTGCCCTTCCTCACCCAGCTATACAATGGGCAGCATTCATTTAAGATTCAATAATTAGGATCTGACTTGTCTTGAAGTACACTGAATTAATGCTGATTGATTTTCCTGAGAGTAGGAGCCAGGGAACATATTATCAGGAAAGTTGCAAAAATATAAAGTCCTGGCAGTCTTTGCATTTCTATAGTAAATTCAGATTTGGTGGGGTGGGGCTGCTGTGGGGAGGACTGAACTTCATGAATGCTAAGCACTTGCTTTACCACTTTGTTCCATTCTAAGCCCTAATTTTTATGTTTTAGAAGCAAAGTCACATGACTGATTGATTTCACTAAACAAGAAAACCTCACCCATTTCCTATCCCATCCCCATACTCAATTATAGGAGACTTCATCTATAGATCCAGACTATACTCTTCGAAGCACATCAGGGTCTTTGCTCTACATGTTCCTTTACCCCACATCTCAGGTATTCTCATTTGAGGGTGTAAAGTTAAGTTCAAAATAATCTTGTTTTTGTATATATCCTCGTACTTGTTTAGAAAGTAGGGCAGTGGGACTTCCATTTATTTACATTCAATTTTTCTTTTACATTTGTATAAAGTTTTTTTGTTTTGTTTTTAAAAATATCTTTATTTTGTTATTTTTATGTGGTGCTGAGGATTGAACCCAGTGCCTCACATGTGCAAGGCAAGCGCTCTGCCACTGAGCCACAATCCCAGCCCTGGAGTACAATTTTTCATTTCTCTGGTTGTACATGTTGTAGAGTCACACCATTCATGTAATCATACAAATTCTGTGTTTTAATGTTTATGTTTTGTATTTTAACATTAATATTAAAATAAGAGAGTTTGCCCCCCCTGCCCACCCCCCCAAAAAGATTCAATGATTATTTATTGAATGCTTGTCCTGGCATCTCTCACCTCTTACTTACCCTGCCTATTTTTTCTCATAGTACTCATAATTATCTGACATGTTACATTTCATCATTCTCTCTCTCTCTCTCTTTTTTTTTTTTTTTGCTTAGCTGCCTTTCTCCATTAGGATCTGAGCTTTATGTTGTCAGGGATATTATTATTATTTTTTTTTTCCAGTGCTGGGGACTGAACCCAGGGCCTTGCACATGCTAGACAAGTGAACTACAGCCCCTAGGCACAGATTGTTGTTTTGCTCCATGCCATGTTCCTATTATCTAGAACAGTGCTGGTACACAGAAGACATTCAATAAACATGTGCTAAGTGAACATATTCAGCATCTGATATGGAGCAGAACTATCTGCAGGAAATACAATGGTGAGCAGAATAGATATATTCCACTGAAAAAGTATGAAAGTGCCTCCACCTCCTTACCTCTCACACTCACCTCAATGAAAGACAGAATCCCTGAGAATGAGACATCCATTCCCTTTACAGTATATGGCAGCTCAACAAGCTTTTTGCCTCTATGTAGAAATGAGTAAAGGCATTAAGCATACATTCAGATGGCTGCTCTCCCTCCCAAAGTCTTCCCAAACTTCATTACTATATATGCAGGGACAAAAGCATATATAATAATGGCCCCAACGGCCAGGCCTCTTCCATCATATGTTCTCTTACCGCTTTGCCATCTGTTCAATGTTGTAGCCTGGACTAGGATCATTGGAAATCTAGAAGAAAAAACAAAGTAGATGACTATACAAACACGCTAATTATAAAATACAGAAACATATTCTTGTACATATATGGATGTACTTGTCATTCTAGTGTGCCATTCTCCATACCAAGCTAAGGAAAACCTGTCTATTTTTTTGTGTATGTGTTTATGTGTATAATAAAACATATACATATTTACATATGTGTATATATTTATTTATTTTATGGAATCATGCCTACATGTAGGTACAAACTAATGTTTGTAACAAAAAATAACATACCGATATAACATACTTATTTATTATTAAACATATAAGTGCTTATTATCCATCCATGTTAAAAAGAAAAAAAGTTAATGAAAGAGGATGAAGTCAGATGTGCAAAAAGTATAAGAAGCTATTTATTTACTACTTCCTCCATTTCCATTGCTCCCCAGAAATTTGCCCATATCTTATATTATCTGCAGACTCAACAGCTTACCTTCAGCACTCGAGCAAAACGATCCAGACAATTACCAACGGCAATATCGATGGTTTCACCAAATATGCGGTAACGACGTTCTGAGTAAGCAATCACCTAAGGGCGATGAGGATGTCCATGAAACCTCAAGTCTGTAAAAAGGAGTATTTGGCTTTGGGGAAGAAAGCAGCAGAGTATCAACATGGCTGTTAGTTTCCAATGAGAAATGGAAAAACAAGTATTTTCCCAAACCCTGAGTGGATAATTTCTATATGGTTCTTCTCTGATGAGAAGCCTAAAACCCCTAAGGATTCCTACAACAGATTCTTAAATCTATAGAAGATGACTTAGTAACTATCACTATACTTTGGGCATACACAAAAAATGTCATTACAAAAACATTTTTCCAGCTTAGAGGTTCCTAGTATATCCCTCAAAAGCAGTCTTGAGAGTATAGAGTAGGAAATGTGTTTTCCTGCTTGGAGGCAGGGAACAAGAGTCATTCTAGGTAATTCTTACCAGTGCGGTAATATTTGGAAACAAGAAATTGAAGAATTAAAAAATCTCATATGGGATTAGATACATGGCCTACCCAACATAGCAATGGCAATCCACTTATGTCCATTCTTCATATGTGGCAAACTTTTATCATAAAGAATATTTATCACCAGCTGGGCAGGGTGGCGCATGTTTGTAATCCCAGCTCAGGAGGCCGAGGCAGAAGGATATCTTCTCCTTTGTTAACCAAAGCCAGCCTCAGCTACAGCAAGATGCTAAGCAACTCAGTGAGACTCCGTCTCTGAATAAAATACAAAAAAGGGCTGGGGATGTGGCTCAGTGGTTGTGTGCCCCTGAGTTCAATATCTGGTTAAAAAACAATAACAATAAAAATAAATAAATAAAACCAGGTACAGGGTGCACACTTGTAATCCTAGAAACTCAGGAGGGTTAGGCAGGAGGACTGGAAGTTTGAAGCCAGCCTGGGCAACTTAATGAGATCATCTCCAAATAAAATTTTAAAAAAATCAAACGGTAGGAAGGAGTGGCAGCTCAACGTGGTTGTGCATGACTGTAAACTCAGCATCTTGGGAGGCTAAGACAGGAGGATTGCAAGTTTAAAGCAAGCCTTGGCAATTTTGTAAGGTATAAGCAACCTAGTGAGACCCTGTCTCATAATAGAAAATAAAAAGGGCTGGGATATAGCTGAGTTAGAGCCCCTCTGGGTTCAATTCTCAGTACTACCAAAAAAACCCAAAACTTCAAAATAGTGAAAGTCTCCTTATCATTCTTTCCTTTTCTAAATTAGAAATTCCTTATTTTTATAATCACATATAGAAAAATCATATAGTGTTCTAATTATCTTGCCCAATTCTAAATCAAAACTGTTTTGAGTCTTCTACAATACCTAGGTTCAGATAAGCCCAGCTTTGTTTTTACAGTTCCTACAACTCAGGTACAGTAGGAAACTTTTAGGTCGACTGCCTCAGAAATTATTAAAATATAATAGGTACCATAAATACCTGCGTATTTCCTCCACTGACATACAACACAGTTGGGCTGGTGGCTCCAGTGATGAGACGGCCCATTTCAATGTGGCCTATACAGTGGTTCACACCTAGCAATGGTTTATTCCATAGTTGGGCCATAGTACGGGCCACAATGGCTACAGAAACCAATGGGGCACCCATGCCAGGACCTAGAGGCATAGAAATGGGAGTTAGACTCCTAGAGATTAGAAAGAGCGGGTGAAAACAGTAGACGTGAGAGTACATGAGGAAGAACGATGGTGGCATAGGCAAGGGGTAGGCTGTTTTAACTATAAAGGATCCAGGTATTCTTCTCCTTTGTTACCCTTCTCCCAGTCATACCTTTGGTGTAAGCAATGCAGTCGATATCCTGGTAGGTTACTCTAGCTTCTGTTAGGGCCTCCTGCAGAATGTCTAGGATAACAGCCCGGTGATGCCTGGCAGTATCACCTGGAAGGAACCCTAAGAAATGGACACAGATGAAAGATCATAGTTTTCCTGTAGAAGATAAGTAGAAGTAAAAAAACAAAACTGGAGGTTTTAGTAATGAAGGAAGAATTGTTTCATTCTATCAAATTTTTAGATAGTCTTTTTCCAACTTCTATACAATCTGTTCCTCTTTCAGAACTGCCCTTCTTTATATCCAATTTCTATTCAGCTTTTGGAATTCAATTAAAGTGATACCCATACTTTCTGGTGACCTTTTCTGTGACTCTAAAGAACCCTACATAAAATTACATTGCTGTAGATGACGCAGAAGAAATATAGCACTATAATTATCTATAGTTTCCCCAGTTTAACCATAAGTATCTCAGAGCATTAGCCATTTTATTTATATTTCCAGTATCCAAGTACTTAGAAGAGTTAATGGCAAACATAAATACATATTTCTAAGTAATAACCTGTCACAATAGCACTTGTTTCTAGAGTTTTCAGGTACATGCAGGTCAACTGTCCTATCTATTTGTGCAGCTATTATAAGAGAGGCTAGGCAAGATGCAATATCTTATAAGTAATATTAATTACAAATTATAATGTGTCTGGTAGTTTCATGTAGTCCTCAAGGCCCTGAGATACAGGTGTTAATTTTCCCACTTTAAGAGCAGAATACTGAATATGAATCTTACATACTTATCCAGTTCTGACACCTAAACTAATAAGACTTTCTGCTCTCCTCTCCCCCCTTATTCTAGAAAATTCTGACACATCTGCTGTAGGATCTGTTTACATTACAAGTCCGACTCTACCCCAGGCTCATAACTCCTATTTTTGAATGTTCAGCACATAAAAGACGCTGAATAAAATCTGAACGAACCCAGAAGATACAGACTCAAATGCCTAGGACTCTATTCTAGTCACCAGCCTTGTAACATTTGGCCACATAATAATCCCAACCAGACTCTTAGCCAATGCTGTACAGGTTGACAACGTGCACCCACTTCACTAGTGTTTAGGAAGATGGCAGGTGATGCTGTGCAGAGAAGCCAGACGCAACTAGAAGTACCCTAATGACTCACCCGTGCCTGGAGGTGTAACGTAAGTTCGTCGCGGGTTCGCCAGCACGTTACCATCACGCACCACTCCCACACCAATCTTGTTGGCACTGCCTTCAAAACCCAGCACCGTCGGCATGGTAGAGCCAGAGAAAAAACGCCGGCAGGCTTCTAGAAACGGTGGAGCTACGGAGGCCCTCACGCTTCGGTGCTGGGCAGTAGATTCCGCAGCACCGAGGATGAAGTGGCAGCGACAAGTAGAAAGCAAACGGCACGCGGCCAAGGACAGAACTACGTCTAAGGGTGGCGCGACCACGCCGACCGCGCCGCAGCTGTTAAAGCCCCTTCAGGACCTGTCTTCTTAAATGCCAGGGGCGCGGGACGGGTCTTTCCGCCTAACATCCGTATCCGGTCCCCAACCTCTCTTCTGCGGTTCAGCCCAGCCCTCCCCATTGATTTCTTCCCTCTTTGCATATCGTTAGGATCTTCGGTCTAGGTGGCAGGATGAGTCATAAATCTGGCAAAAAGATAAACAGCGCTAAAATGGAGCCGTGGGGCCTTCAGTCCCCTGAAAAGAGCCAGAGAAGGGCGGGCACTTCTCTGTCACGTGGTTCCAAACAGACCAATCGCCCGCGTGCGTGGTTCACGTAACCACATCAGTCACCCACGTGGGCGCAAAGCGTGCTCCATTCTTTGTGTTCGGGTAAGGAGGTGCCACGCTCCGACCCAAGCAGGTCAGATTCAGGATTGCTGTCCTACTAAATGACGGGCCAGCTCATTAAGGACTCATAATTAAGATCCTTACTTGGCCAGAGGGCAGGTTTTGCGAGGAGGTTACGACTCATTTTTAAATTATCTAATGTGGGTGAGGGGCTGAAGGACCTGTGATGCACTAAGGCTGGGAAAGAGTTTAGAGATAAGATAGTTTGAAAGGCGGGACCTGGTGTGTGGACGCCGTAGGGAGGAGTCTTCATCCTAGTCTTACTTGATTCCACAATTTTTTTGCGAATGTAGGCAACACGGTAAAAATACTGTTTCGGTGGGCGACGTGGTACTGGTTCCGAAGGGCGTTCGTTACAGGGATGCCAAAGCGTGGGAAAAAGGGAGCGGCGGCAGAAGATGGGGAAGAGCCCAAAACTGGTAAGAAAAAGAAATAAAATAAACCCCTCTCCCTCCAAGCTGCAGTACAGTGTTTATGGTTTCCTCGATGAACCATAAATGGGAAACTGAATCATATTTTTACAGGAATTGGCAGAGAAGTCAAGGCAACTATCGATTCTCTGTGGTCTATAGTAAACTATTGAGGTTGCAAATTGCCAATTTTATCATTATCTGTTATTCATTCTGTAGAGCCAGAGTCCAAGAAGAGTAAGGTAGGAGCAAAAAAAAAAGAAAAAGAGACAGCAGGAGAGGGCCCAGTCCTGTATGAAGACCCTCCAGATAAGAAAACCTCACCCAGTGGCAAATCTGCCACACTCAAGATCTGCTCTTGGAATGTTGATGGGCTTCGAGCCTGGATTAAGAAGAAAGGTTTAGATGTAAGTGGAATTCAGGGAGGGGAAGATATATTCCATAATCTTGAGTGGTCTTGCAGTTTAATCACCTTGTCTCATTGTTTCCACACCAGGATGTTATTTTTCTCTTGCCTAGAGTTATTTTTTTGGGGGAGGCAGGGGATACTGGGAAATCCATGGGTGCTTTACCACGGAGCTACTTCTCCATTCCTTTTTTTTTTTTTTGGAGATAGGGTTCTGCTAAAGGTCTCATTGAATGTTAAGGGTGGCCTCAAACTTGATATTCTCCTGCCTCATCCTCTGGAATTGATGAAATTACAAGTTGTGTGCCACTATATGTGGCACTTGTCTGTAATTTTCTTGTGGGAAGTACAACTGGGGGCTTCATCAAGTCTTGCCTAAATGTCCATTCTATCAATTCCATTGCCATTTCTTGTTTCATGTCCTTTCCTCTTCCCTAGAATGTTGTAAAAACCTCTATACTGGACTTCCTCTGTTTTATATCCAGCATATTCTCCATCCTAGTAACTGCGGCTTCAAAATCTTAGCTGACTATGCACTGCATATACCAAAAAAAAGTCCTTAGTACAACGTGTAAAATATTATTATCCCCCACCATTAGTGATTAGTGGTCAAGTTGCATAATTTGTAATTGTTCAAACGTTATGCTTCTTGACTGTTGGAACTCCTTATGCATAGGGACTCTGCCTGAGCTGTGTATAGATAAGTAATTTCACTCATAAATTGTTCAATAAATGTCTCTGGAGGGTTGGGAATGTGTTTTAGGTGTAGAGTGCTTGTCTATCTATGAGGTCCTGGGTTCAGTCCCAAGTACTGCAAAATAAATGTTTGCTGAATTGACAGTGTCTTTTCCACCTTTTTCTTTTTTAAACTTCCAGTGGGTAAAGGAAGAAGCCCCAGATATCCTGTGCCTCCAAGAGACCAAATGTTCAGAGAACAAACTACCACCTGAACTTCAAGAGCTGCCTGGATTATCCCATCAGTACTGGGCAGCTCCTTCGGACAAGGAAGGATACAGTGGTGTGGGTCTACTTTCCCGCCAGTGCCCCATCAAAGTCTCTTATGGCATCGGTGAGACCCTATTGATTTCTAATGCCTATGATGCTTCAACCAATTGTTAGTACTTCTTTCTTTCCCCCAGTGTCTTATTACCTTCTCTTATAGACTTTTCATGCTGATTGTTTTCATTTTTATAGGTGAGGAGGAACATGATCAGGAAGGCCGGGTAATTGTGGCTGAATTTGACAAGTTTGTGCTAGTAACAGCCTACGTACCTAATGCTGGCCGGGGTCTGGTAAGGCTGGAGTACCGCCAGCGCTGGGATGAAGCCTTTCGCCAGTTCCTGAAGGGCTTGGCTTCCCGCAAGCCCCTTGTGCTATGTGGGGACCTCAATGTGGCTCATGAAGAAATTGACCTTCGTAACCCCAAAGGAAACAAAAAAAATGCTGGTTTCACTCCACAGGAGCGCCAAGGCTTTGGAGAATTGCTGCAGGCTGTGCCACTGGCTGACAGTTTCCGGCACTTGTACCCCAACACTGAATATGCCTATACCTTTTGGACTTACATGATGAATGCTCGGTCCAAGAACGTTGGTTGGCGCCTTGATTACTTTTTGTTGTCCCAATCTCTTTTACCTGCATTGTGTGACAGCAAGATTCGCTCCAAGGCCCTTGGCAGTGATCACTGTCCCATCACCCTATACCTAGCACTGTGATACCCTCTCAGAATCATTTTGAGTCTTGGAAATAGCTTCCCCCACCCTCAACGTTCCTTCTTTAGTAGCTTGCTAGAGAAATCTGCATTTTATTTCTCTTCTGTAAGAATGAATCCTTAAATGAAGCTACTGTTACTAAGGGTTTCTTTTAAGCCCAAGTTTTTTGTTGTGTGCACACATGCCCCAATTTTTTTTTTTTAAGACTTATCTGTAAAAATAAAAGGTCATAGTTTTGTCCTTGCTGCGTTTTGTGGTTTACCCTTTGTGGGGCTGTAGAATCCCTTCCTCATCTTTTCATACATACGAGTTAACAAAGGTTAGAGTCATGACCTTATTTATTTACAAGCACAGGATGAGTCCCTAACCTCCCCCAAGACAGCAACCCTACCCAGGCCAGTTAAACACTGCAACTGGGGAGGCAAGGAAGGTTGGAAGGAGGAATTTAGGGAAATAACAGGACTGGGGGAACATACCCCACATTAAATAGTTATATACACATCAGTTCCTGTGGTTCTGTACAGAGCAGCGGCTGACCCCACCCCCACAGGACACGGAATGTGGGGAGAGGAGACTTGAGGGTACTGAGGCCAGAGCCAGCCCTGGTGAAGTGCAATAGCAGCAGCAAAGTCCTAATGGTGCACAAGAGGGAGGGGAACCCCCCAGGGCTACCCACCCCCACCCTGCCCTGGAATGTATAAGGGACAGGAATGGCTCTCAGGGAGTGTATAGGAAGGACAAGGCTAGATCCATCTTCAGGACCCAGGATTAGGGGCAATATTTTGCCTACTTCACCCTATACACAGCAACCCTTGGAGGAAAGCAGATGGCCAGCAGTGGTCTTATCCACCCCTCCAAACCTAAGTGAGGGCCTGGGTCCTTCCTACCTCTCCCCAGGGAAAAGGAAGGCAGCTGCTTGGCTTCCTTACTTGAAGCCCAGGGAACCTTTTACCCCAGCTCCCTTTGTAGTGTCACTGTCCCCACCAGGGAGGGGCCAGACACAGTCTGTGGATCATCGAGGGGCTCAGGAGAAGTTCTGGACAGGGTGGCTGACCTTCATACAGGCCCAATACAGGGCCCGGCCCAAACACAGCACAGCCAACAGGATGACAAAAGCCCAGGCTGCATAGATACCTCCATATCTCCGTGCGTGCTTCCATGTACCAAACTGATGAAGAGGAGGAAAAAGAAAGATGAGGTTGCTGTTAAGGCCCTGCCACTTCCTAAAAGCCCTGGGAACAGTAAGAATTCAAGCTTTATGTGTAACTACCTTTAGGGACCTTCCTCCCCACCCCCGCAAAAGGCTAGGTTGTTTAGCTCCCATCCCCTAGGCAGGAAAATACTCATAATCATCCCAGCCATCTGTTAGTACTTCTTGTGTATAACAATGAAGATAGGCTTCCTAATAGTAACTCAAAACTCCCTCTCCATTGTCCTAACTCCTACACAGAAGACAGCTACTTTTCACTTAAGACTTATCAGTTACCTTCAACTTTGGCTCACTTATACCTTAAAACAACCTCCCTTGCCCCCAGTTTCTTTCATCTTTTTCTAGGGTACCAATTTCCCAAAGCTTAGCCCATGATGAGACTGAAGAATGAAAAGGATTGGGTCAAGGTTACTCACAGCAAGGCCAGTGGCAGTGACTGCCAAGAGCAAGCCAAGCAAAAAGCAGCAGATACATCTTTTTCTCGGATATCTGCGCCCAATAGAAGACCTGCAGGGAGGCAAACAAATAGATACAATAGCCTTGTTGTTTTAACTCTATACATCACCCAATTACAAGCTCGATCACTAATCACTTACACTTTCCTGCAGTGAGGACAACGTGCCAAGGTTCGATCAGTGAACTCTGTCCACTATGGAGAAAGAAAAATTAATTATAGAAAATTAATTATAGAAAGAACCTTGAGGCAGAAGAAGGCTGGAAAATGGTGTCCCCACAGGACATACCTTTTCAGGATTCATAGTCATTACTCAAGCTTTTCCCCCCAGGCCTTCCCAATATCATTCCTTACCAGAAATGTATTCTTGCAATGTCCACAGATGACTCTGACACCCATTGGCTGTGGATCTGGACTTGAAGGTCCTGGATGAACAGGCCCCAAGTTGATGATTCTTTTGCTTTATGGGAGAAAAAAAGACTGTGATTAAAGATTTCAATCCTAAGAATCCCCACACTGTTCCTCCTTTGCATTTCCCAGTCTCTATCAAGTCTACTTCTCTGTACAAATCCTTCAACCCTTCTCCAGAGAATCCTGAGGAATAGCACTAC